AATCCGACCCCCCAAGCGCTGCCTCTGCGTGGGCGCGACCCAGGCAGAAGATGCACAATTCGTGACCATCGGAGACTTTGATTGGCTCCGTGCAGGAGAGGCAATTGCTAGAGGTTATCCTTGTCCGAAGCTCACTGGAGCACAGCAGGGGAGAGAAGGCGTGTCCGCTGCAGCGTGTAGATCACAGTGAGTACTCTTGTTGATAGGCTTCTCGTTTCTCGTGGAAGGCTGGCTGAAGGAAAAGATTATGAATGGATGACGTACAAACGTTGCCTTATATAGAGTGGGAAGCCCCTCATATTTCGCGCGCTTGAATGCCATTGGCCAGTTTCATTGGCGTGATTCAATAAGGCTTCACTAGTATTTGGAGGAAGGGTTTCCCCCATAAGCATACAGTAGTAATGCAATGTCACAGTGAACGAATCGAAAGGGAACTTGTGTTAATTTTACAGCAATGAACTAGCAGATGGCGACAAATGAGCATCTTTTCTTATAAGCAACCTACTGAATCATTGACTTAACTGGTTCACTGGCAGTCAGGAGCGAACGAATGGAAGTGAACCATTTGTTTATTAAAAATTTGTTAAAACTAAAGTATCAAATGTATTTGCGAATGAAACGTCACTAGCACAAAAAGCATGCATGTGAAAAACAACATTAATATTAATAACGAGCAAATGACACAATTTACATGCCTGTGGCTTGAGGGGGAAAGCTGGAAAAGTGATTTCGGCAGCACCTGTCTAATTAAACAGTTTATACAACGTTTATATGTAAGTTTATGACTAGCATGAGCATCATGGATCAAGTGGGAGACACAGGTAGTCAAACAAACTACTACGGTCAAAGTTTAAAGGATTTTAAAGTGATTGCTGTATAGTTTATCATGTTAAGAGGTTACATTTCAAATAACTAAAAGGAGGAATAACATTTTACCTCAGGATTTTACCTTAGACCGCCTCATATGGGAGACTGTTGTGCGCTAATTAACCAAACAGGGCATTTATTTATTAAATTAATTTATTAAACCTACAAAAATACAAAACATTACTCATCTTATGTGACATCTAACCTTATATGGCCAAAAACTATGAATAAAAGTTGATTTACAGCGCTTACCTTTTCCTCCGTGTCCGTCTGCTGGAAGTTGACCGTTAACAAAATGACGCGCACACGCGTGCGCTCCTGCAGTCAGACCATCCGTTGCGCGCAGGTTTAAAGTCACCATGAAATCAAAATTGATACTTCTTATTGTTTGAGGAAATATTGTAGTGTTTCTTATAAATAATTTATCTGTGCACTTCATTATTTTAAAAAAAATTCATATACCCTCATAATCATTAATCAAAAAAGTCAACCCCCTCCCCCACCTCGAAACTACCGCTCCTGTCTTCCGGTCACAAGCTATGCCACGAGGGCGTGGTTATCGTGGACTAGTTTCTGCCTCTCTCTCCTGTAATTGAAAAGATCGCAGCAATTAGCAATCAGCGATCGACATCATGGTGGTGAGGTGCATTTTTGGTTGTACTTCTCCACATGTCCTCTTCCCTATCCCGAAAGAACCCTCTCTGCCCCCATGGCTTGAATTTTTACACTTTGAAGGAGGAGGGATAAACGCGAATTCACGCTTGTGTGCAAGACATTTTACAGAGGATCTTGAAGAAGAATTTGAAGTGAAATTAAATGGGATTAGTTCAAAATCTGCTTTTGTCTGACACAGCTGTCCCCTCTGTGTACACAGTTGGAGTGTCAACGAATGTGAAGGTTAGTAAAACTAATTAACTAGCAGATCAGACTTAACTTCAGATCTGCCTCCATTTTAATGGCAACGCCCAATTCACAACGATCCAATCAGTTCCCTGATGGACGAAATCAAGTCCCGCCCTGCATTTTTTTCTAACTTCAAAATCCATTTCACTCAGATATACGTCACGATAGGGGGAAAAATACAACCCTAACTTCCGTTTCATGCCGACTTTAAATTTTCACATTTGTCTCGTGCCCTCTTTCAATAAATCTGTGTTATTAACAAACATAAATTAAATCCATTTGCTAAGCAAAATATTTGGTTGTTGTTTTGTCCTTTTGATGGCAAATATTTTATATATCTATATCTCTACAAATACAATAAATCATGCCATCATTTAAAATGTTTGATAAATTCAAAGTATTTTCCATATTATATCCAAATAGTATACATCTTAAAGACAAACACATGTAATGCAATAATCTGAAAAGTTATCTGGAGACCAGCTAACCACGTCGCTACAACGTTCTGTAGCGAATCAGCTCATGGGGAAATATGAATAATTAATC